TGAATGGAAAAAAATACTTCAGCTCACATGCAAAACACATGATTGAAAACCGATGCATTAAAGATAAAGCTCAAATCTAAATAACGATTACTGCCAAAACCTTCAGGCCAACCAACTTCAGTCTTCTTTCTTAATACTTTACCCTGTCCCAAGTCAGAAATTTAAGATGACTGCAGAGAATTTAAATAGGTTTAAAAACTGAGCCTGACTTCAAATCAGGATTAGGTTTACTGAGAAATGGGCATTTTGTAAAAGATGTTATAAATCTGTGGCTCTCTCCAACTGCGTTTTCATTCCTGTTGGACTCATTCTGAACAGACAGGATTGACCTTTAGGCTCTGATAATATCAGTGTCCATGTGTGTTGGGAGGTCTGTGCCAGACATCACAGTCCTCATAATGAAATGTTCTGCACATGAACAAAAAGGCAAGTGTTAGAAATAGGAAATCAGCACCACCTTTCCTCTGCCCTGTTGCTTTAATATTTCTGTTAACACTAAACCAATATGTAGAACACCTTCCTGAGATGAAAAGGGGAACAAACTTCTAATGGAATTACTAAGGGTTTGATATAAACTTTAGCAGCTTTGTAAGGGTAATTAATATTTCTGATTAATAATTGCTTTTCCTTTATGATTCTTTATCAAAATAAATCTGTTTCAGAAAGGGGAATAATCTTGTAAAGTTTAATTTTAAAAAAGGTTTTATTTGTTTTGAATCATAGAGCAGCTGAACCATGCACCTGCTTAGTTCCTTTTTCATAAAGCCACACAGTTTTGGCAACTAAAAAGTTTTAGCCTTTGTCCCAGAACATTCTTCTGGGCTGGCCCTGCATGTCCCCTGGCAGGAAGATGGCAGGTGGGTCCTGACTGAACAGTGGCATTCCCATTGAGTGTGGGATGGGGAATGAGCCACAGCTTCAGAAACCTACTGATGCTTTGGCCGATTGTGTGGGGAAAATGAACAATGTGAAGTCAAATGAACAAAAGTCTGAATTACAACAGTTCAGAGCATTTATTAACGTGTAATAACGTTCCAACCAAATGGAAATGTCAGTTGAATTACGTAAAGTATTTCATCATGCTTGTTTTCCAATTTAAGTGAAATTCCAGTTCAGATTTCTAATGGACTGGTGATGAGATCAGATTTCCTCCAAGTGACTGGTTGTAGGTTAAGTATCTTAACAACTAAAGGAGGCAGGAAAAACTAAGGATTTCTGGTCATTTAATGCTGCCAGGCTTTTTTTTTTTAATGTGGGCGCTCAATCCATTGTATTTTGTTGCCAGGTTTTTTCATCCTCATTTCTTATGCTTTGAATAGTGCCTGAATCCATGACAGGTTGTTTTTCAGTGCATGTACAAAGCAGTCCTCGTTCATACCTGCAAATAATGTAGGTTTATATGAATCTGTTGGCCGTATTACAACAAGGATGGTCTTCTGTTGTTGAATTGTTACATTCTTCTTCATCCTTCTGGATTCCTAAGGGTTATAACAAAGTTGTAGATTCCTTGGTGGCTTCAGGGCCTAATTCTGTGAGTTTAAATCCATGAGAAATGTCACTTAGCATGTGCTGTATTCAAGGTGATCTTGATGTTCTCTTCATATTGAGAAAGGAAATTACTGGTAGCCAGTGAAAGCTATTGGTGGTTTTTCGTCAGAAGGGTGCAGGCTGGGAAAGTTGTCCAGTATCAGAATTAATAACTAGCTTGATTTTAAAAGCATTCTGTGTATATTACTTTTTAAGATAACATGCTGCTGGTTATTAGAATCAGTCAAACAGTGTTTGGCAAGTTCCTTCAGATGTCAGTTGTGATATTAATGGGTATGGTGTCGATCAGGCTCAAAGCCTGATGAATGCTTAGGGGAGGAAGATAGCTTTGTTGCCAAAAGAGCAGAAGGCTTGCTGACCCTGTTGCTAATGCATTTATCCAACAAGCTTTCCCCGAAAGTCAGGCAAAGCTAAACATCTGAAAATGAGGGACTGCAGTTGCGTGAGAGCTTTGCTCACACAGCTACACTGCAGCAGAAGGGCTCTCTGGAGGTGCCCAGCAGTCCCTGGAGACCCTTTCTAGGCTGCCATCAGTGACTCACTGTGCCTCTCAAAGGGCAGGGGAGGGACACAGCAGCAAGGTGAGGTGCTGTGCTCTGGCAGCACACTCAGATGAGGTCATTTCCAGCCACACTCCTAAAAAACCCAGGTATTCATAGAGGTGGGCGCGGTAACACATTGAGCACCTTTCTGACGTCTGAGCGTGCTCCCTGTGCCCAGAGGCTGCAGACAGCCCCTCTGTAACCAAAATTCAGAGATGTCACAAGTGGCTGAACAAACAAATATCACCAGTTAATGGTTAAGCTCTCAATTTACTAAAGCGTTTGTTACCAGTTTGCCAAAGAGATCAAACAACCGTGAATCACAGCCTTGGCTACTAATTAAATCCTTTATTCCCTTCTCTCATCGCAGAAGCATTTAATCTTGGGGAATCCGGACAGCCTGTTGTGCAGAATTGCATTTTACAGCATAAGCAGAAACAAGCTTACAGTAAGGCTTCCTACTGGAGCTGGAAATGGAAAGGATTAAAAGGAGAATATTAACTTTTCCTCCTGGCATGGTAGTTCATGTTAGCACTGAAAAATGATTGATGGTGGATAGCTGCATTGGAAAATCATTTTGGTCGTGTAGCTTTGTTATTTCACTGAATAGCAAATACCATTTTTATTATCTGCCTGCCTTGCTTATAGATGGGACTTGTCCTGTAGATAGAGAATGAGGGATTTGGTGTGCTCTACTGGTGACTGGCTGTCCCAAAGAAAAATGTTTTACTCAGAAATAATGGACTGTGAAGAACACCCCAGAGGAAATGAGGCATAAACCAAAATACTACAAGCAGTTTTATGGCAATTCAAATATATTTCTATTTGTCAAAAGATGTTTTTGTGTGCTTTTATGTATAGGATGTATAGCTGCATGATGTCATACCTTTGATATTTACTAGAAAATTAAACAGTGTTTACTTTTTTGGCTCCCATCTCTGTGAAGCAGAACTTAAAAGTCCAAACACTTTATTTCTTTTGGGTTTGGGGGAAGTCATCTAAGTCCTTAGCAGCAGAATGATGCAGCACAGGCTCACAGAACAGGGGTGCCCTGAACCAGCACTAGGCCAACTCAGTCCACTGGGAACTGATCCAAACACGCAGCCATTCCAGGCAGGAGGAGCAAATTTCCATTTTTGTAACTTGAACCATGATGTTGCAGTCCGATCTGTGGGAGCAGGGGCCTGGAGACAGTGGCTCTAAGACACCTCAGGAAGGTGTTAAGAGGGAAAAAGCTTCCTATGCAGATCTAACTGCAGGCTTGGTGCATAATTATTGAGGTACAGATGGTTTTATATAAATACACTTAGGGGTAGCCATCTGTAGACCTGCAGTGGAAAGCTCTATGGTATTAGCTTGAAAAATAATGCATTTTATGCTGTTTCTGGAGAAAGTAATCTTTTCTGTCATTGCTAGACCTGAACAATTTCTATAACGGAGCCCTGAGAGGCAATTTCCTAAAAGTAGGAAATGATGGCTTTGTTTTGGTTCTGCTTTTGACTTTGCAGAATGTTTTCTTACTAAGAAGTGTGAGTTTTCAGAAGAGGAACACCCCAGCTACACCTCTTCAGAGGACAGACATCCACCATTTGCACATACAGAACTTTTATTTACTGAGGGAGATCTATCCCGAGGAAACACCTGAATACTCACAAAAATTCCAGGTTATATTTAGCTGCAGAGGCTTGGGTGATACCATGCTGTAACATGCTAAAGACCCAAACTTGCACAAACTTTTATATCACTTAAAATAATTCTTTTATATAATTCTTTTATATGATTTCTCCATCCCTTAGTGAGTATGAATGCTGTCATGTTCAGTATGGAGAAAAAGCACTGCAAGGTGACATCTCAATATGCCATTCCATCTGGAATACTAATAACAAGTTTATAAAGATAAAATATCTGGAACACCTAACTGCTTTTGCAGCTGTTCCCTAAAGCCATCACTTGAAGTGTGTTTGGGATGAGAGTTAGAAACATCAGATGTTCATGCAGTTAAAAAGGAAATAAAGATGGTGCTGTAATGTCATTCAAGTAAATCTTGGTAAGAGTAATAGAATGAGCAATCTGAATAATTGGCCTAATGTTTGATATTATATTTTAATGTTAAGAAGAAAATGCGTCTTTTTTGGAAGCTTTGAAAAATTTGAAATAACTGTTGGTTTTAAGGCACTGTTTGAAAAATCATGTCAGGTTTTTTGAAAGTCTGTAATTTAAAAGCACAATGAGCAAATTATTTTCTCTTTATTCTATTGTCAGATCATGTGCATATGCACAAAGAGGGGCATATATTTTTTAAAGACCTGTCAGATTATTTTGTTATTATATTAAGCTACAGTTCCATTTGGGGATAAATATGCATGTAGATGTTACATCCAGAAACTACTAGATTATTCGGATTGTTTGTTTAGCAGTCAACAAATCAAAGATCTATCAAGTGTTTGTATTTTAATAATTCTTTGTGGAAAAAAAAAACATCTAAGTGAAGAAACATGTTGTATAGAAATTTTGGAGTGAACACCTCAAAAAATCCAAACAAACCAAAAAAGTCCTAAAAACTAGAGTGATTGTATAAAGCTGTTCATGGCTGGATATGCAGGAACTTGAGAGTTTGGGGTTTTTTTGTGGAAATGAAGCATGGAGGTTTGCTTAGACGCAGAAGGAGGTTATGTGGACACCTCTTTTAGCTGTGACATGGGTGCAAACCTAGCGTGGGTCAGATAAAACCCTGGATTTTCAGAGCATTCTTGAAAGGCGAGGAAGGTCAGCGGAACGGTGTGTTGTGCTGAATCACAGCTACTTACACTGCACACTGACATTTTGGGGAAGGGTTTTCTGCAGCCCGCTGTATTTCTTGTCTGGATGAAGATGCTCTTTCCCCCCTGACCCTCCTGGTTTTTCCCACAGGCTGCGGGAGCACCACCGCGCTGCCATCAAGGTGATTCGGAGGATGCAGTATTTTGTGGCAAAAAAAAAGTTCCAGGTGAGTTGTGAATAGAAAGCTCCTTTTCTAAATAAACCCTTTTGTTCACCTGATTCATTGTCTCTTTTAGAAACTTAAGAAAGACTAACACAATTCATTTCAGTAATGGTGATCTACACCCACTATTCTCTCCCTCCTTCAATAGGGCGGTTGTTTCGCAGCAGGTTAGTCAGCTATGGATGCACTGGAAATAGGCTAAACTCCTGAAATGCAGTCTGAATTAAAATGTTATTTTCTGCTAATGGACTTGACCCTTAGCCCTCTGTTATCGCTGTCTCTTTCTGGCAGTGCAAACATTCTCGTATGTCTCCATTAATTCTGAGCTGTGTGCTGCTTTCATGCCCAGTCAGTAGGATTAGAGATTAAAATACTACCTCAGCCTTGTTTCTGTCCCTTACTCAATGATAATGAAGTCCTGATAAGAAACCAAGGTGGAAATTTGTTAGTGTATTGGAGGGTTTCTCATTTCTTCTCCTTTCTCCCCTCTGCATAGTAGAAGACCTCCTTCCCAGTTAGTGAGATACTGATTCTCTTTCCTCCTCTGGCCTTCACTGATACATTTCCCATGTGCCACTTCACTTACTGTGCTCTTGTGATGTCATAAGCATTTAACAGTAGCTAATTCACCTTGTTTCCTGGTCTGAATAAAAAATTCTGACTGCCAACTTTCTAAAAATCTGTTTCATTAATCCAGTAAAAACACATGTCAACAGCCTTCAGCTTGATTTAAACCAGGTGAATGTATATATAGGTAATAAATATATTACCTTGCTTAAAATCAATCAATAAGGGATAATCTCTAGAGGACAGTCTTCACAACTGAAAATGCAAAGGATGAGAGTGGCTTAGCTGCCTACATCTATTTTTTAGCTATTGTTGCTTCTAATAAACCTTTAATCTAGATCCTCCAAAAAGGCAGAGTGTCTTTTCTTTTTTAAATTTGAAGGCTACAAAATTTAAGAACAAAAAGATCATAATGATGATGAGGATGATGATTATGACTAGCAATCCAATATATCTATCTGTAAGGCAAAGTTTGCTGCTGTTACAATCCCACAATTCTGATTTCCTTGTAAAATTCAGAAGCACTTCATTAATTCTTTAGCAAATTTCTACTTCGAATATTTTAATTTTTATTAATAAGCTAATTTATGGCTTAGGTTGCCTGAGCTTGTCAGAAAATTGCTTTAGTTATGTGTAATGTATTCAGATCAGTACCATTTAGGCTGAAACGTCCCATGTCCCGAGTTTTCTTGAAGAGAGGGCTTTCAAAAAGTTTCTGCTAGCACATTTCACCCTTTATTATCATTATTAGACTAAAATTAAGAAAGGCACAGTCTCAACTACTTGAAGATAATATTCATAGTCATTTTGTTGAGAAGTTTTTTAGCACTTGCTGGTCAGCACTTTAAATTGGACAAGGGATGTGGCCCAGTCCAGTGATGTGTCTGCTGCCGTGTGAATAATTGCCTAAATGTGGCCAGTTCCATTAAAATCTAATTTATTTTCATTCTAAAACTTGATTGTGATCCTTTGCTCCATGGTAATTACTGAATCATTGCCCTCATAAATTTAGATCATAAAATTTTTGCCATGGATTAACTAAACTGCGTAGTAACAAGAAATCCACATGTTGTAGTTCTACCTCCCAAGTGGTATTTGTCAGAAACAGATTTTGAAAATGCCTGAGCACTGTGTGCAACATTATCCACCTGGCAAATAAACGAGACTCCCCTGCGGCAGATGATTTGATAGAAGCTGAAAAAGCATTTGACTGAATAGAATGGGACTATTCAGTTCATACTTAAAACTTGTTTGTGCTCAGTATCTCAGTTGCTAATCTGGCTTCTCAGTTGTACTCTCACTTTTGCATCTGCAAAAGGCTCAGTCCTGGCCATCTACAAAATCCCTGGGCAGGGTTGTCTCCCATCTCTCCTCAGCAGTCTTCTTCCTTCCTGAAGGATCCATATTAGCTGCTACAAAAGAACTAAAAATGTCATTTGGCTGAAGAGGGATGGATCTACTCCTGTGTACAAGTAATATGCTGCTGTTTCTTCAGAAGCAGAATCTCCAGTAGGAAAGTAGGGGAATATCTGATACTTCTCCATAATTTCTGAAGATGAGGTTATGATCAAGCTTAGAAATTTGGAGAGCACGAAAGGTACAGCTTTCCAAAGCACCCAAGTAACTTGATGCACAAAGTCACCTTGAAATTCAAGCCCCGAGATGATTTTGAAAATCTCTCCTGTAATTAGGCAATAACCACTGTCATTATTCTTTCATCAAAAGTTGTAAATCTGTTCTATGCATATAAAATAATCATAATAAATTAAATTGTTTTAGCATGTGCCAAGTAATGACTGTACTGTTCCTAATAAGCTGAATAATGTAATGTCCAAAAATAAGGTAAAGCAGAAGAAGCATTTTAAAAATATATCTTTTGGCATTTTAGAGTTCTGTACAGCTGGTTTTTAGTAGGTGTTTTCTTTCTAAGCTTTACAATTATGTAAAAAATAAGTTCCAAAGAAGAAAATTCAGATATTTTCTTCCTGTAACTGTTGAAAAAAATCACAACCCAATTTCATCTGAAGTCCATTGGGCAATTCATGCTTAAAATTAGCTGGAACACTAAGGAAGGCCAGCACTTTAAAGGAGTATGTTTTAGAGATGCCTCTGAACCTTTTAGTAGGACAGCATAGGAAGAAGAAGAGGAAGAGGAAAATTTTGCAAAATAAGTCCCAGCATGAACTCAGCATGGTTCTTAAACTATACCAGCTGTTTGCAGGACACACCTGTAGGCCTAAATTTGACCAGATATATTTTTTGAAGTGCTCAGTTAATAACAGGGGGTGATGGCATCAGAAGGACAAAAGCCACTTAGAAAGCAAAGCCTTCCTGTTTAAATCTCAATAAATAAATAAAAGAAATAAAGGAAAGATAAACAGGGATGCAAAGATTTTCAAAAGACATGAAAAGCAAGTCTTTGTGAAGTATCATTTCCTCTTTAAGAAGGAGGAGAGACATTTTGGCTATATTTAAAGTCAAGGTTTAAATATAGTCCTGAGGAGGATGCCCATGTATAACCCATGAACCCAGCATAATAATATAAAGAATTAATACCTTTTTTATGGATGTGTTTATGTTCTTGTAAAGTCTGTAGGACTGTTTCAAATTCTATACAAATGATCACATTCAACACAAGTCCCGCGCATCAGTGAAGATTAACGACTTATGGTTAAGGAAGGATTTTATTGATTAGAGGGAAAGCAGACTTAGAAATGAATGCTTTTCTAGGCTTTGTTCACCCTACCTACCAAAAAATGAATTTTATATATTAGTTGTAAAGCAGATTTTTTTGACACAATCTAATGTTACAAATGAATTTTGGAAAAAAAAAAATCGTTTCCATACTCATTTATCCCATTAGCTTGATTTATGAGTAAATAACCTTGTGTTTTCCAACCATTAATGTTTCTTGAAGTCTTAAAACTAATGTACATAGATGCAGCCATGATATCCGTCAGATACAGAGACCATGAACTGGTTCTGATTTCCCATTTTCATTTTGAAAACTTCTTAAATTTTATTTCCATGTAAATTCTTCCAATTGAGTAAATTAATTTCCTTCTAAAATAGCGTTTTAACTTGTGGAATGATTTTTACCATGGCAAATATTCTATACATAGCATAAATTAAAAATACAGGTTGCAGTTCTACCAATGACATAACTGTTGCCTGATTTGTTACAATTTCCCTGGAAAATCTTACATTTATAGTCTTGTAGTTCTTCATACTATGTGATTCATATGAATTATGTGTGTAATCTTTTCTAATCTCCATACTGGACTGCACTAAACTGTGTATTTCAGTGTCCTGTGCTTCACAGGGTGTTTTGCCCATTTTATTTGATGTTACCTGGCTGCATTTCCCAGAAATTCCCCTTTCCTGGATTCCCCTTTCCCAGGTCTGCCTCCCTGCCCATGCAGTTACTAGGGAACAACAGCCACAGCCAGTGGTGCACATTTAATGTTTGGCATTGGATTTTGTGCCTTTTAAAAACTGGCATTTATGATGGAGGGAATTCTAAGGCATTTAAAAAGAGTTTTGCCATGAGTTTTGCTTAATTAGTGGAGGACCAAATGTAAGGAAGAGAAGCAATTAAGAAGGCTGTGGGACTGGCTTCTGCTTTTGTCTATTCCATACTGATCTGCTGCCTGCTGCATTTTTTTTATATGGTCAACAGCAAGAGTATTTTCTTGTAGAAGATCAGCTTTCAATATGAAGCAGTTACAGAAAAATCAGTACTGACTTAAATACCCAGACTTACTCAGAAGTTTAGCCTCATTAATATATTTACTCCAGGTTTTCAATTCTTGTTTTAAAGAGAGAGAGGCAGCCCTGTAAATGAAAAACAGGTGGGGAAATACTTACACTACTGTCAGACTCCTGTGTCAGAGGATGAGGATGGCAGGAGAAAGCTCTGCATCTTTATTCTTACTGAACACCTTTTCTGAACTTGCAGTTTTCAAACTTGCAGATTTCTCTTTTGCTTATTTATAGTACAAAAAGAATCCAAGAAATTTTTTTTTTTGTTAATATTATCATGTTTACAGTGCTAGTCCATGGAAAGATTTACAGGATTACAAGATTTATGCCATGGCAGAATCATATTTCTTTCTTTGTGGATGTTAGTTATGATTTATGTGTGTGTAAGCAGTTGGGATGCTTGGGAATTCTTCTGTGCTCCTTGGTTAGATTAAAGTACTTCCCAGTCCTGCTTAGCCTCCCACCAGAGAGGGTCTCACATTCACCCAAGGCTTGCAGTTGAGGTGGGGAATCTGGGACACTGAAATATACTTTGTTTGATGAAGTGATGTTACTAAAGGAGTCATTCCTGAAATGTGGGAACTGCTTCCCAGGCAGGTGCAGGGGACTGAATGAAGATGCCACAGTCTCCACAGCTTGTTTTTGTATGGTATCCTACTTTCCTTTGGCTTAGGGAAAAAAAACCCAGTATTTATGGCATGGAGTTTAGGAAATCCTGAAGTTTGGGAAGTAAGATAGAGCAGAGCAGAGACATCGGCTTTTGAAGTACAGGTGACAAAATACTTCTGAGACTTCAAAAGAGATCCAAATTCTGGTATCTTAGAAGCTACCACTGAAAACTCTTTTCCTTGTTCTCAAACAATGTAAGAAAAGAGAAGTTGTAAGTCAATGTTACCAAGGTTTTTACAAAACCTTGAAAATGATCTGCAGTGTTTCTATAAACAGCATAACAAATGAGTCAGAAATCATAGAAAAATTTGGGTTGGGAGGGACCTTCAAAGGTCATCTAGTACAAACCTCCTGCCATGAGCAAGGACATCTTCATGCAGTCAGGTTGTTCAGGGTCCCTCCCAACCTGACCTTGAATGTTTCCAGGGATAGGGCATCCAAAACTTCTCTGGGCGACCCATTTAAGTGTCTCACTACCCTCACACTTAAGAATTTCTTCCTAATAGCTAATCTAAACCTGCCCTCTTTCAGCTTGAAGCCCTTTCCCCCTTGTCCTGTCACTACAGGCCCTTGTAAAAATCTGTCCCCATCTTTTAAAAGCCCCCTTCAAATACTGAAAGGTTCCAATGAGGTGTCCCTGTAGCCTTCTCTTCTTTAGGTTGAACAACACAACTGTCTCACCCTGTCTATAGCAGAGGTTCTTCAGCCCTCTGATTATCTTTGTGGCCTCCTTTGGACTTGTTCTAACAGGTCCATGTCTTTCCTGTGCTGGGAACACCAGTTCTGGCACTGATAGGACTCTAGATTCTAGATGTAGGATTAAGATACCTTTAATTTGTTCCTACCCTTCAACATGTTCATTAACTTGCTTCCCAGTCAGTCTTGCAGGTAAATACTATTGCATTTATCTTGATACGAGTGCCTCTGTAGTGCACAAAAGTTGTTTTTATGAATAGTAGGTCAGATGAAGTCTTTCCCATGTATGAGGTGTAAGTTCCAGACACAGGGCATTTCTTACACCAGTGTTTCCCAGCAGTTTTGAAAGCTCAGCAAGTCTTTCTGGAAGAGGAAATCAGTCAGGCACCTTCCTCTAGGACTGTGTTTTAACTTCCCATGGTAAGGCCTGAACTGTGAGCCCCAGCTGCTGACTGAGAACAGCGGTTTGTGCATGTGCAAGACCCAATATTTTTCAGTGGCCAAGGAGTATGAACCTTGTTTCCAGAAGGAACTAGAGTGTGCACAGGCTTCTGAACCAAGTGCCAGATAAACTCTTTTTAGCTCCAAGTCCTTTTGAGCTCCACTGTGGTGGATTATCTCTTGGAAGGCATACAGACCTGTGGTAACAAAAAGGTGGATGAAATGAGAACTGTCAGAATTACTCCACCAAAAATGTGTGATCATGGCAACAATCAAAATAACTCACATATTTACACAGTGCTAAAAGAACTTACTGTTTACTCTTCAAAAACATCTACATTGCCACAGACCTTTTGTCCATCCTTGTCACTTAAGGGCCTGTTTTTTGTCTCTTCTTTTACAGCAAGCCAGAAAGCCCTACGATGTCCGAGATGTTATTGAGCAGTACTCTCAGGGCCACCTCAACCTGATGGTGCGAATCAAGGAGCTGCAGAGGAGGTATGTCAGTAGAGCCCCTCTTGGTACCCATGACCAGCAGCAGGAGGACGTTTGTAAATTAGGGGCACATGTTTAAAAAAAAGCCAGGGTTGAAGGTGCCATATTGGCAAGATTGTGCACAATTAGGGAATATAAAATGGTATTTGCATAAAGTTTTCTTTTCACACAGGGAGGAAAAGGCAAAAAGCTTAAAAATCTGATGATTGGGACTTAGATGTATTACCTCAGTCCCTGCTAGCTGTGACTATAGACTGCAATCTCTATATCACCGGGGCTGTTCTACACCTGGAGAGTGCAATACTGTCACCTGCTCTCATAGAATTGCCCCTAAGAGCCAATTAAGAGATGACAGATGCAAAAAGAAAGCCGAAGAATAACAAGGAAAAGACAAATCAATGCTGAGCACATGGAAAATGGGCATGGTAAAACTTTACAGTGGTTCAAGAAGCTGTAGAGCAATCTAATTCAAATTCCATTTTGCTACTAAATTTTTTATTTCAAGCTACTCTTAGCATAGAGCAACTGCTTCGCTCACAGGACAAACCAAAATTATTTGAACTTCACTTTGCTTGTTTGTGAAGAGACCTCCCTGCTCCAGCTAGAGAGGGTGAAGATGCTGGTTCAGACTGATAAAATCCAAAAATGTTTCTTTTGGTTTTATAGGTTGGACCAGTCCATAGGAAAGCCATCTCTTTTTATCTCCGTCTCAGGTAAGTCAATACAAAGAATGTGTCTAAAATCAATCTGATGAACATATAATTAATGGAAAATACTTGCTCAAGTAATTTTCATTTTATTGCCAATCTTCTAAACCACGCCAAGTGGTTGTGCTCTGAAGATTAAGCATGGGCAATTATATTTAGTCATCAACACTTTTAAATTAGGGTTGTTTTTATTTAGATTCTTAAAGGACCTACTTTCACTGAAGTCTTCAAAATATTGGCTCTAGTCTTTCTGAGACTCACCATATATTCAATAAATTGGTGTGCTAAGAACAGAGTTCCTATGAAGTTTGTAATATTCACATAGATCTTTGATAGCATTGAAAAAACACTGGAAATGGAGCACAAAGGACTAGATTTGTTTGTGACAAGTCTGACTAATGAAAACTCTCTGTTTATGTCATTTGTAAACTCATCTTTCTGTATAGTTTATAGTGGGGGGAAAAGATAGAATGTTACCAAATGTGTTATGCAACTTGGCTGTAGAGTCCTTTGCATAGTGGCAGATTGTTTTTAAGTGGCAACTAAAACATTAACTAAATTGGGAACATTTTTGCTGTCTGTGGTTAAAGCATAAAACTAAGATTAAAAATGCCTTAAAATCAGGGCTATTAAAAGCCCTGGCGTGGGCCAATGCTATAAAAAGAAACAGAAAACTACTTTTAAGGAATGGATCTATCGACCTGGTAAGGGTGTTCAGTTACACGGTGTTGGTGGGCTAGTTAAACACACCCTGTTGTGGTTTGCTGCTATTTTGTTATACCACCATATATTAATTTGAAAGTGTTTCTTGTTCCACAGAGAAAAGCAAAGATCGAGGAAATAACACGGTTGGTGCCAGGCTGAACAGAGTGGAGGACAAGGTAAGGCTCAGTTGAACTGGCAGTGAATGAGGACATGGTTTGTGATTGAACAGTGCTTGTTTCATAGGATGTGAAGGAAAATTCAGCTTAAAATAGAGTTGAATGCCTGACTTTTCCAGGTGATGGAGTCGAATTTTTGTCACAGATTGCATTTTTGGTTCTCATCACTTTAACAGAATAAGGAAAGAAACCTGAATTTAATTGATTTCAGTCACTTTTGGGACTCACTTGGGTATTTTATTTTTAATTGCATATATTACATATGTCTCAGTGCTTTACTTCCTTCCTCCACAATAGATAAAAGGCTCTGTTCCTTTAATAACTCAGTATATTATGGTCCCCAAGATTTGCCTTTGATCTTTGCTCTGTTGTTTACATAAGTCCACATATAATTCCTTAGAGAGGGAAATAGCAAACCTTGTTCCGTCCTGGTTTTCATTCCTTATGATAAGTGGAGTTTCTCCTTCCAAGTGACACGAATACAAAAAAAATCAGACTTGTTCTATAATTACAACAGTTAAGTGCATTGTAAGCCTTTATTTCAATGCTGGCTGTGCTTGAGAAAATAGATGACAGGTAGAGGTTCATTGTCATGGTAGAGATTGTGTCATTGTTAGAAAATACAGGTTTTCCTATGCTGGTATTTAGGAAAGAAAGGAAGAGTTAAGAAGAATATTTTGAATCTTTTACTGATCTCTTAGAGTGATTTGGTTAGGTAGTGAAAGCATTTCTTTACTTTAGAGTTATTTCACTCATGTATTGGACCTTAGTATCTGTTCTTTAGTTGTTAAGACTGAAACTTTTTCCTGAGGAAAAAAACTTTCAGAGTGTTTCTTCCTCCACTGGAAGTATGTGGTAACCTCATGAAGGTTTTGTTCTGAAGAAATATCAGCAAATATTCTGCAAACCAAAAGAGTTGTGAGCAGTACATCCCAAGGACTACAAACCAGCACCCTGATCTGCATTGATTCACTTGTGACATGCCTGTTCCTTACACACTTCTCCTGCATTACTTTAGTAAACTTGAATGACAGTACTCAGAATTGCACTTCACTCTCCTGGAAATAATGGTGTTTTAAAGGAAACTGGTTTCTTTTGATATATGGGGGACACAGGGGAAGAGTTGAAGAGAGGAAAGTAGAGTGTATTCAGCGCAAAAAAGAATCACTGTGTTGTGCTCCCTCACATCTGTGGTTAATATGTGTTCTTACACATGGAAGCCCTTTCCAGAAAGTTTGGATTACATTTATTTATTTTCTCTCCATAATGTCAACTAAAAGTGTGGAACACTAAGAAATGTCTTGTGACTTGTGACAAAGAGCAATGACTTTTCAGTGTGGACAAATAATTCTCAAATGGCAGCTAAAGCAGCTTCTCAGCGGTATTTGTAAAATCTCCAGCAAGCCTGGGAAAGCCTTCGTGTTGTACTGGCTCAGAGATAAGCTGTTTGGGGGTTATTAATTACTCTTTTTTACATGCTTACAAATAAGTACACCGTGAATTTATGGTGACTGGGTTTTTATGTCTTGTAATGGGACTGTAAAACACTCCCTGTATAATTTTAGTATAGCTGGGTTAAATTTTAGCCTTGTTTTAAGTAACAGACCCTTCTTTCTTTGCAGTTGCATGAGGTCATCTGTGGTTTCAGAGTTGTATGTTATCTGCCCTATACAGCTAGTCCTATCTGCAGGAATTTTATCTGAAAGTAGCTGAAAGGCTAAAAATAGAGAATTTCAGTTGGACTCAGCAAACAGTGGTTAACATAAAAACACACTGGCAATGCTAGAATCACATTTTTGCTGCAGCTGTACATGGTGGCCAAAGCTAATTTTTTGGTATTTTTGCTCTCAGAGATTGGCCCTCTCTTTCCCATAAAGTACATGGTGCTTGGTATGCTTTCAACATACAGTTAAATCCTTCCTGAGCTGAACACTCTTTTAAGGATATCAGGTGGTTTTTGAGGTGACAAAATATTTTAAACAGTTTCATCCCATTTGGTTTGTGAATTATTTTTCAGTCTTGGACTGCAGGAGGAGATATTTTCAGTGCTGCAGGCTAGTGTCAGCATCTAAATACCTCTTAGGCATTTCAAAAATCTCCTGTAAGTCAGAGGAGGGCTATGTACAGCCAGCAGTGCAGTGGGGATGGCACCTAAAAGGGACATTTTAAAATAAAAAGCTTAAACAGCAGTGTATTTACAAAAATTATGATCCTTTATGGCAAAAACCTGAATTTTCAAGTATTGACATCAGCAAAATGTTGTGTTTTCTGCTGTAAATTTAGGAGTATGCTCATGTAAGGGAGAGAGTTTTTTGTGCACTGAAACTTCGACCTTGTGATATATACACCTTGTGATCCTGAACCTAAAGATTGTTTCATACAAAAGCCAAAGGGATGAATCACACTTGCAAGAACCTTCCTGCAGATTCCTTCCTGCTGAATGCTGTAATTTTGGCAAGACCCTGAAAAGGTGGTTTGGTGAATGTGACTAGAGACTGCGCAGCCTGGTAGGCCTTTGTGAAAAGAAATCCAGCTTGTAATCACGGCATATTTTGACTTTGCCATTGCTCTCTGTTGCTTACAAAGCTGAGGGGGTGGCAAGTGCTGTGCTCTCCTAAAGGTGTCCTGCTGTGCTGGGTGCAGGGGGCTGCCCAGTAGGAATGTACCAGCAGGAGTGCAGCACCCAGAGGGGCTCACGTCCCCTTCCAAGTGCCAGTGGTCCAAGAGCGTGCGTGCAGATACCTCAGGGAATGTGGTTGAGCAGGATTACAGCAGCAAATCAATTTATTTGTGGTGACCAGCCTTCTCTTTTCATCCTTGAAACATCTGTGAGTGACTATTCAGCCTACCCTCAAGGAACCTGGCCACAGCTGGCTTGCTACCAAGCTCAAAATCAAAAACAGTTTTTCCAGATGGGCCCAGCTCTGTGTGCACAGTGCCCTTCCTCCTCACACAGCACTCTTCATCCTCATGCCGCAAGCGCTGCCTGCCAGGGACTTAATTCTGGGTGTGCCCAGCAGCTCCAGCCAGGAGCAAGCCCACAGCACACTTGGGAAATTCCGTGTCCTGCAGCTCCTATTTTCCTTTCACTGCACTAATTTTAGCTTGGCTATAAATGACTGCAATGCTAGCTTTTTAATTTTCACATTAATCTGTTCTTTTTCAGCCTTTTGCCAGCCATTAATTTAGCTATAACAGGCGCAGTTTGCACTTCTCAGGTGATCAGCCAGGCTTGCTGCTTTGGCTGCCCTAAGGAAATTCAGTCTCAAATATGGGCACTGCACAAAATCATCTAGAATATGCAGTGAAGGCTAAAAGCGGTCAGTCCCTGGACTCTCCCTGTTGTCCTTGCAAACCAGACTGCCCCAGCAGTCTATAGGTCCTGCCTGTGGACCTCCCAGAGTAGAATAACACAACCCAGATTTACAAAAAAAATTTAAAACCATTCTGAGCAGTAGACATTATCCTCTTTGTTAAGTTGTTTTGAAAATAGAACTTAATCTTCTGCAATGACTTGAACCCTTTAAAGTTTGCCTTTCAAGAAGGTTTCTAGCAATCCAAGGCAGTTTTCTGGGCATCCCTTCTTATGTACTCAGAATTGTTCCTGTATCTGACAGTAAGTACAGTATTAATACGAGGATTGCCAAGGTCAGAATTAAAATCCTGTAATAATCTTTTTCAGTTGCATGAAACATTAGGAGTTATTAGGAGTTGCAAAAATTTGTATTGTAGAGATTTAAATGGAGATTTCTATTTGTACAGGATATATGTGGTAATGAGACATGTAACACCTTTTAATGTGACTCAAACAGTTCTGTAGGACAATATTAATTCCAAACTTTTACACATTTTGCATGCTTCTAGCTGAGAAGGTGAACCCTTATATTCTAACCAGTACTAACCCAAGGAGCAACATAGACATCATTGCATTTTCTCAGATTTACTTGGAAAGCAGATAGCACCAATTTTAAAATCAATTAAAAACACATCTATCACATGGAAACATCTACCCTAAGATATGTGCCGCTGTGCTTGTTGAGTTGACTAGTGGAAATCTGAACTGATCTTGGAAGCCAAAGCTGGAAGGCAGTGTACTCATCACAGGCCTTTTGAGTTCTGGTTATGTTGATTTGGTTTCCTGTCTTCCATCTACCATGTCTGTGATTGCTAAACATATAGAGGCCAGTAAAATTGTAAGGATATAATAAATATTTGATACCTTTTTTGCAGTGAATGCTGACTATGTAACTTTTAAAGAAAAATAGGTGCAAAGGCTTGTTTGAGGTGGCTTTCAAAAAGTGATGAATGCTGTATCTTACAACATTTATGTACATGGTATGACATATTATTCTAGCTAAATAGTTTTCTGTAATTGTTTCAATGGAGTATTGATTTTATACATACATGTGTTAGAAACCAGCTTGACTGGGACCATGTTGAAGGCAGCTCCAAGGAACTGAATGACCATTGACAAGTCTAGGTCTAGTTTCTGACTTCATTCTTGCTCTTTTCCACTCTTGCTTTCTAATCAATTAACAGTTCCCCATTGCAAAAGGTTTCATATCTGATTTATTTATCTTGTTGATTTGCTTGAAAATGTGTGAACTTGAGTTACACATTGCAGAGGAATCTTACTGTAATGTGAATAAATCCACTTTTTAGTGTATCATAAGGCAGATTCTAATAATGCCATTTCTAATGATGAGCTCTCAGCCCATTCAATGCAGAAAAGTTTAGGACGTGCTGCAGAGAGCATTTAAAGGTGATAGGTCATTCCTTTGACCTGAGGAGCCAACATTTTATTTTTCCCTCGTCATGGCTAGGCAGAAGCATTAAGATTTATTAAAGTTGTATACCTTTGAGATGACTTCTTTTGGTTGTTGTGACATAGTTTTGCTCGGCATCATGGATGTGTTACTTTTATGACAGCATTTCTGTCATAAATGAAAATATAGATCTGTACTTATTTATGTCTCATTATTTAAAGCTCCATTCTTACA